CGGGATAAAAATCAAATAAATAAATAATATAAATAAATATAAATGACTTGATGGGGATTCGTTTTGGGAGGGCTTGGAAGAAATCCTGAGGTCCTGGCTAGACCAAAGCGGTCATGATCTGTTCAAGGAATAAGCAGGAAACGGTGTCTATTTGACTGCAACACCTGAGGAAAAGAAGCCAAAAATAGGAGCCAGAAAAAAAAAAATTCAAAATATATCAGATGCTGGATAGCAAGGCAAAGGAGTTTGCTAACTGTACAGATCGTGACAGTTTGGGTGGGAACTTTCCTGCTGTAAACGTTACAAAATGAGTGGGCATAATCCCAAATCTAGAAGCCACAAAGACGCTCATGCTACGAATACCCGGGCCTTCTTGTTATTCATGTCAATCGTTCTATCGACTCGTCTTGACCTCAGCACCGCCATCGTGTCACGATGCTCGAGAGGTGCCTTCCTGAAGCGTGGGAAATTTAGGTGAGCTTGGTTGCACTGTGTCCTCTGTCGTTTCAACAGCCAAAAGGGCTGGGGTTTTGGGACAAGGCTTGTGGGACAAGACGCCTTCTGAGTGGCAGTGCAGGGGTCCCGCCTGCTGCCTTGGTCCAAACGGTGAGGTGGGACCAATATCAGCGTGTCACCTAGCCAGGATCAAAGGCAGGGGTGGGCGAGAGGTCTTGGGTCCATTATGCCATACTTCTGCACTAAGCCAGTGAGGCCTGGTGCCAGCTGGAAAAAGGTGGTAATGGGTCCTCCAGTTCTAAAACCACACTCTTACTCTTTCTATATGCAAAATAAGCCTTTCCTCCTTCTAGCACTGTTGATGTTGGGTTTTGTCTCCCTTCCTGGAGACCTGGAGAACCAAGAACAGACCTGTCTTCACAGATTCGCATTGGGTAGGTGGCCAACGCTTCTCTAGGTCTCCAGGTGGGGAGGCCATCCCCTAAAACTTCATCGTTCTTCCCGAGAGCCCTACAGATAGGAGAGGAGAGCTTTCTTGCTTTGATCAGAAGGGCAACAAGGATGACAACTAGAAATAACTATCACGTGTAAGGATGTGTCATTGGAAACCAAGAATAAGATCATCAACACTCTTGTGCTTCTGATCACCACATACAGTATGAGTGCAAAAGGTGGGCAGTTAAGGAAGCTGACAGGAGGGGGAAAAAAGAGATTCCTTTGAAATGTGGGGCTGGATGAAAGCATTGCAGACACCCTGGACCGCCAGAAAAATGAAAAAGTGGGTCCTAGATCCAACCAACTAACGCTGGAGGCAAAAATGTTGAAACTGAGGCTGTCCTGCCTTGGGCATATCATGAGTATTCTCTGGAAAAGACAACCAGGCGAGGACAGGTTGAAGGCAGCAAGAAAGAAGACAGACCGGTTTTGAGATGGACTGGCTCCCTAAAGGAGGCTTGAGCTGAGCAGACCAGTTGAGGAGATAGTTCATTCATAGGGTCGCCATAAGCCAGAGATAAGTCCAGTAACATCAAAGAGGAAGACAGAAGGCTTGCTGTTCAAAGCGCTGTATTTTCTCCATTTCCATATGAGTTTTTAACACTCACACACTAAAGCAGACCCATTGAATCAAGGGGGATTTGGAGAGTCAACTCCTCCATTGGTTCCACCGATTCGAATGGGCCGGCTCTAACTGGGACTTACTATGCTGATTTGAATCAGTCGAATCCGTGGAGGAGTTAGTTGACTTACCAAATCCCCATTGATGGATTGAGCCTACCCTAGTGCAACTTACTATGCTACACAGCAGGATTTTGGCCAGTGAGCTATTATGCTTTTGTGTTCCTTGTCAGATGCTATATCACAAACGCAAGGATATACACATAGTCTTCGCCGAGCGTCTGCTTTAAATAACCCAGCCCATAAATTCACTTCCTCTGCCATGTTACCTGTTCTGTGTGCAGTGACATGAGCCAGGGATGATGGATTTCTGTTTGGGGATGATCTGGAGATGCTTGTCCAAAGAATAGGGGAGAGATTTGTAAGAGAAGGAGGAATCTCTGGGGGCAATTTAAACCAGACTCCAAAAGGAAGCCTGAAGCATATTGTCCAGGTGTTGTTGTTTTTTTTGCCGCGCCTCTTGGATCTCCTAGAACCAGCTGCATCTGGCAGCACTTCAAGCGAACAGGACTGAAAAGTTTGAAGGAGTCCTCAAAGGCTCCGGCGCTCTTCTGAAGCCCCCTTTACCCTTGGAGATGGCCCAGGTCCTTAGCCTATCTCTGTCATCAGTGAAGCACCAACCACGTTGGTCTTGCAAGTTGGATGTTTGGCTGGAAATCGCTGGTGCCCCAAAGCCACGCCGGTCCATGAAAGCTGAAGCACCGTCTCATCCTCCCGCCACACCTCTCATCGCCAGGAAGAACATGAGAGGATGCTGAGAGAGAGGGAGGGAAGGGTAGGCCATTGGGGCGACTCTCAAATGTTCCCCAGAGAGGGATTAAAGGGTTTGAAAGCGAGACAAACAACTCAGTCCTTGCTCTCCTCGTCGTATTTTTCACAAAGGGATTCGGTTACTAATATTCTGACAAGTAAGAGTGCAGATGGGGACAGGAGCCCGGCAGCAGGACCAGGAGATTGTTTACGACCTGAACATGTGTGGCTTTAAAATCCATGGCTGGGGAGTTCATGTGCTTTTTAATAGGTGCTTTTTAAAAATAAAAGAAACTCTTTGTTTTCTCAGGATTCAAAAGTCACTAATACATTTTTGTTTCCCTTTAGTCGTTTTTCTTAAAACATCAAAATGGTACAAGCCACTGGAATGTAATAGAGGAAGCTCGTAAGTAGTGAAGGCAGGGGCTGCGTATAATTTTATAAATGGTTAAAATGGCTCACAATGACACTGCAAAAGAAGGAATCCCAAGTTATATTACAATAGTGATGTAACTTAGATCTGCGCTAGGAAATGCAAAAGAAGGAGGAGAAAACAACGGAAACATCTGGTGGGAAAGTTCCCCTCTGCACCTTGGCCAGGAACTGGATGATCTTGGAGCCCATGGCCTCTTTCCCTGTGGCCAGATGGCCAGGGAAGGCTGTGCCCCCCCCCCAGCCTATTTGATCTGCCCCTCCCCTGCTCAGCAGCTCACCTGGCAGATGACACTAAATTTCTCACTGCTGTTCTTCACCGGATGCTCCGTGAACGTCGCATAGGGAATGTCCGTGGACCAGGGGTTCCAGCGAGACAGGAACGTCGGTTCTCGCACTTTGTCCCAGAAGATTCTCAGGCCTTCGCCTTCCCTCCTGGAGAAGGAAACATTTTCCTTCTTCAGGTACGTGAGTCGCAAAAGACAAACCAAAGACAGGGTGGCACAGCTCTGCAATGGAGAGGGGAAAATGATAACAGAGGATGAAGAAAAGGTAGAGGGCAAAAAAGAGGAACCTGGGAACTACCGGCCAGTCAGCCTGACCTCCATCCCAGGCAAAATTCTGGAACAGATCGTAAAGCGGTCATTGTGCAAGCACCTAGAAAACAAGGCAGTAATAACTAGAAGCCAACACAGATTTGTCAAGAACAAATCCTGCCAAACTAATTTGATCACGTTTTTTGATCAGGTCACTTCTCTGATAGACAGAGGGAATGCTGTAGACATAGTATATCTTGACTTCAGCAAAGCTTTTGATCAAGTGCCCCATGATCTCCTGATTAGCAAGCTAACTAGGTGTGGGCTGGATAGATCAAGTGTCAGGTGGATACACAATTGGCTACAGAATCATACTCAGAGGGTGATGATTAATGGGTCCTTCTCTAACTAGGAGGAGGTCACAAGTGGGGTCCCCCAAGGCTCAGTCCTGGGCCCGGTGCTCTTTAATATTTTTATTAATTACTTGTATGAGGGAATGCAGGGAATGCTTGTAAATGGCACAAAATTGGGCAGAATAGCTAATATCCAAGAAGACAAAAACAAAATTCAAAATGACCTTGATAGGATGGAGCACCGGGCGGAAAGCAACAGAATGAAATTTAACAGGGATAGGTGCAAAGCACTGCACCAAGGAAAAAGAAACCAGTTGCACAGTTAAAAGATGAGGGATACCTGGCTCAGCAAAACTACAAGCAAGAAGGATCTTGGAATCGTCATAGATCACTAGCCAATAAAACCTTCCCATTGACCTCATCACCAGCACAAAAGCCACCTCATCTGCAACTTATGGAGGGCTGTCACCTCCTGCTTGGATAAACATGGCACTTTTTTTTAACCTCTTAAGGAAACTCCACTACTAATGGTACGTTAATTGAATCCTCTAGCTTGAGGAACCCAGGGCCGGAACGCCGAGCGGGACAGGAGAGAGAAGAACAAGATGAGCCATCTTGTACAGTGGAAGAAGGGATGGTTTTAAGCCTAGGTGGTAATATCTGCTGCTTGTCATTCTAAGAGTGGACATCTCCCTTCAACTGTGCAGGGGTTAGGGGTGCCAGACCCCCGCGCAGTTCAAAATCCATGTATAACTCAATCAGGAAATGGGTGATTGTGGTGATCAGTGTGTTTTTGTTGAGGGTGTATTGTTGTGATAAGGAGGAGAGATTATCTGCACTGTGAGTGTTGGGTGTCGTTAGCTGGTCTTTTGTGAGCAGTGATCACTGGTCCTTGTGGCTGGGTAGAGTTCATTGACCTTTTGCAGGCTGTATTTTTCAGTGCTGGGAGCCAGGCTTTGTTGAGTTTTAAACCTTCTTCTTTTTTGTTGAAGCTCTGCTGGTGTCTGTGGATTTCAATGAAAAACTGCAAGCAAAACAATGGGTGACTTTGTTCCTTTGCAAAATGTCCCACTTGCTGGTCCCCATCCATGTCAGGAGTGATAAGAACCCTTTCTGACACTTACGTTGCCAGACCAAGGCCACTGAGCAAGGTGGGAATGCCCCCATCGATGCTCGGACGTCTTGGATGGACCGCAGGTGAGAACTCACCTGTCTCTGCAGTGTCTCCAGGAGGAAGGGACCCCCAGGACAGACTAGGATGTCATAAGGAGTTGCATTGCTCTTGGCGAAAAGATTTGAAGGATGTGTGTGGGTGTGTGTGTGTGTGTGTGTGTGTCTGTGTGTGTCTGTGTGTGTCTGTGTGTGTCTGTGTGTGTGTGTGTCTGTGTGTGTGAAAGAGAGAGAGAGAGAGAGGAAGCGGCTGGGGAGCTAATGTCAGTGATTGGGACAACCTGAAGACGTGGATTGCTGGCATTTGGGAAAACTTTATGGGAAAGAAGACACCGGATTAAAGGAATTAGACTTGCATGTTGCTTAAAAGGGATGGGGAGAAGAAGGGAAGTTTGCCAGGTCTCCCTCCCTCCCCCCCCCAAAAAAATCATTAGGTAAACAATTGCTGCTGGATTTAAATTTTTCTTTAGAACTGTCTAATCTTTAAACCGAGACAGATTAAACTTTTAAAAAAAGAAAGGAAAAAAAACTATATATGATCAAGTTTCCCATTCCAAATATAATTACCGAAAGCGTCCTCAACAGAGCGGCGATGGGTGCCAAAATTCTGGCGTGGCTTTGCCTTGTCTGCAAAAAAATGGAATGATTTCCCCCCTCCTTTTTTTTTCTTCCTCTCCCTCTCCCTCCCAGCGATGATTCCCATAAACACACAGCTCCCTCACCGGTTCCCGGCTCTTGGGACGGGAAAAGAATTAAAGAAAAAGGCATGGCCAGGAGAACACAATAGTTCAAGAAAGCACCTGGCTCAGGACAGAAGCTGGAAACCAAACCAAAACAAGGAGAAAGATCGTGCCCCACTATTTCTCAGAAACCTCTCTCCTTCGGGAACTCCGTCTCCCAGAATCCCCACCCAGCCCCTCATCGTCCTCCTCCGGCCACTCTTTATGAAGCCCCCTTAATATTTTGCATTTCAAAACAGGAGAGAGTGCCAACGGGCAGGGGACTCGGGGGCCATTTTCCTTCTGAGGTAGAAAGGCATCAAGGGCCACAGCAAAGGTGTCCCCATGCAACAGCCTGGAAAAATTATTCTTGCAGACTACAACTCCCAGTATCCCCCAACTGGCCTGGCCATCAGTTCACTGAGTTAGAGTTTGCTCTGTCTCTAAAATTTCATCCGTCGGAGGAACTTTAATCTCCTCATTGAAAAACAACACTGTTTGGGGTTGGTTTGGTTTGGGGTGGTTTTTATTTAGGAGTTTTTGATTCCGGCATCAATGTTGATTCTGGGTCAGCGTGATGGTCAGGAAACAGACAGCAAAGTGATTAGCACCACAACACAAAGCAGTACAGCGGACCCTCGACTTACAGACGGCTCGACTTACAGACTTTTCGAGTTACAGACTTCTCTGGCCGCAAAATTTAGGTTCGACTTGCAGCCGGAGAATCGACCTACAGACCAGAAAAAAGCCAAAATGGAACAAAAATGGAACAAAAACTGCCAGTTACAGGATTAATCGGTTTTCAATGCATTGTAGGTCAATGGAGACTCGACCTACAGACTTTTTGACCTGCAGCCACCGGTCCAATACGGATTAATTCTGTAAGTAGAGGGTCCACTGTACATGAAAAGGCTACAGCGGCCAAGCCGATGGCCTGTAAACATTACAAAGAGCAGGAGAAAGAGGCAAGCTAAGTTCCTTGTGCCGAAATCAAATTCCCACAAGCGATAGGGTCGTAATGTTCGTTGTGGGATTCTGGGATTTGCCGCAAACCGGGGGATTGTACAGATTTAACTGCCTTGGTAGAAAGATGTGCATTGATCTTGAAAAGGCTAAAGAGGCCAAGCCGATGGCCTGTAAACATTACAAAGAGCAGGAGAAAGAGGCAAGCTAAGTTCCTTGTGCCGAAATCAAATTCCCACAAGCGATAGGGTCGTAATGTTCGTTGTGGGATTCTGGGATTTGCCGCAAACCGGGGGATTGTACAGATTTAACTGCCTTGGTAGAAAGATGTGCATTGATCTGGAATCAAACAGATTATAAACTGACCCCATGTCATGCTTCCTGGGAAATCATCATCATATGCCTTCAAGCCAATTCTGATTGATGGTGACCCTTTCCAAGATTTTCCAGGTAGAGAGCACTCAGAAGTGGTTTCTCCTTCCCTTCTTCCGGGAGGGATCCCTGAGACTCCTGTGCAGCTGGCCCAAGGCCACCCAGGCTGGCTCTTTCTCCCAGGAAGCCCAGTGGGGATTCAAACTCCCAACCACTGGCTCCACAGCCAGAGACCTAAACCACTGAGCTATCCAGCCAGCTCCCTGTAAGGTTTATCCGGGGGGAAAGAAAATTTGCACGGATGAGAGGAAAAGAGAACTTGGAGATGGAAGAGGCAGAGCTAATTTGGCCTCACTCTCCAACATGGATTCAGCGGTTGTTTCTCTGAGACCAGAATCTGGAAACCGTTTTTGAGGCCAGGTTGACTAATAGCTCTCGAGCTTGCAGTTCAAAAAAACTTTGCTCCGTAAACTGCTAGTTAGCTGTAGAGCCAGAAATTGGGAGTTCGATCCCCCACTGGGGCCTCCTTGACAGGGGGTGGGCTCCACAGGTTTCCTTTCCAGCTCTGCCGTTCTAAGACTGTTATTAGCTGGCAGGAGAGCTCAGAGGTTGAGGTCTGCCAGAGGTTGGGGATTCGATTCCCCAGTGGGGCCTCCTTCTGAAGGGCTGGACTTAAATCACCCCTAGGGTCCCTTTCAGTTCTGCAGTCTCAAAATACTGGCCTCCTTGTGAAGGGCTGGACTCAAATCACCCCTAGGGTCCCCTTTCAGTTCTGCAGTCTCAAAATACTACTACTAATCCTGAGTAAGAATATTGATGGGTTGCTTTTCCACCCCAAAATTTGTAAATCACATCAGGCAGGGAGAAGAACTTGAAGTCATCTTTAACACCCGTCTGGCGGATAGGTACAACCTGGGCATAACCCTCTTGGTGAATTTTGTCGGTGCAAATCTCATTCCCGAAAACCTTTTGGAAGTTACAAATTTGCTCCAAAGGCCACAAAAAGAGCCCTGGTTTGGGTTGGTTGGTTTGCTGGTTGGCTTTTCTGTCTTTAAAAAAATGGAATATAGGGAAACACGGAACTGAGAGATTAATCTGCCTCTAATGAAAGTGCAGATTAATAAGGTCACCAAGGCCACATTTCTTATTTTCTGCTTTTTCTCTCTGCAGGGACCCTTCCTTCTCAAAGTAACACATTCATCCTTCAATTCAGCACTTCATGCGGGTATTCTGCACTCCCACCAAGGAGCTGTTTTCTGAATCAGGGAAGGGCATTTGTGGCTTCTCTTCTCTTTGTCTCCTTTCATCCCTCCTCCTCCTCC